GAGCTGTATGATTGCTCAGAGCTTCAGTATGAAACTGGAGATAGGACTGCTGAAAATCTCTAGGCTAAGGTTGGAGGGAAGAGCAACAAGGGTGATGTTGTGGTAGGTGTCTGCTAGAGACCACCAGACTAGGAGGATGAGGTAGATGAGGCTTTCTTCAGACAATTAGTAGAAGTTTCTAGATTATAGGCCCTGGTTCTCATGGGGGACTTTAATCACCCTGACATCTGCTGGGAGGACAATTCAGCAGTGCACAGGAAATGTAGGAAGTTTTTGGAGAGCATTGGAGAGAACTGCCTGGTAGAAGTGTTGGAGAACCCAACTAAGGGCCATGCTCTTTTTGACCTACTGTACTCAAACACAGAAAAATTGGTGGGGATGTAGAAGTGGATGGCAGCTTGGCCAGCAGTGACCACAAGATAATTGAGTTCTGGATTCAGACAAAAGGAAGAAAGGAGAGCAGCAGAGTAAGGACCCTGGACTTTAAAAAAGCAGACTTTGACTCCCTCGGGGAACTGATGGGTAGGATCCTACAGGAGGCCAGTCTGTGTGGGAAAGGTGTCCAGAAGTGCTGCTTATGTTTGAAAGAAACCTTACTGAGGGTACAGGAACAAAACATCCTGATGTGCAGGAAAAATAGCAAATATGGCAGGCAACCAGTTTGGCTTAGCAGAAAACTCTTCAGCAAGCTTAAACACAAAAAGGAAGCTTACAAGAAGTGAAAACTTGGACAAAGCTTGGGAGGAGTACAAGAATATTGCTGAGACATACAGAGATGAATTCAGGAACACCAAAGCACAGTTGGAGTTGCAACTAGCAAGGGACGTGAAGGGTACAAGAAGGGTTTCTACAAGTATGTTAGCAACAAGAGGAAGGTCAGGGAAAGGGTGGGTCCCTTACTGAATGGGACAGGCAAACTAGTGACAGATGAGGAAAAGGCTGAAGTGCTCAATGCCTTTTTTACCTTGGTTTTTGCAGGCAAGGTCAGCTCCCAGAATACTGCACTAGACAGCACAGTTTGGGGAGAAGATGAGCAGCCTCAGTGGTGAAAAAATAGGTTAGGGACTGTAGAAAAGCTGGACATATACAAGTCGATCGGGGCAGATGCAGTGCATCTGAGGGTGCTGATGGAGTTGGCTGATGTAATTGCAGAGCTGCTGGCCTTTATCTTTGAAAACTCATGGAGATTGGAGGAGGTCCCAAATGATTGAAAAAGGGCAAATATAATGTCCATTTTTAAGACACGGAAGAAGCAGGATCCAGGAAACTACAGAACAGTTAGTACCCAGAAAAATCACCTCAGTCCCCAGAAAAATCATGGAGCAGGTCCTTTAAAGAATCCATTTCTAAGCACTTGGACTGTTCTCAGTGGTGGTAGATAACAGAACAAGGACCTGTGGTCTCAAGTTGCTGAAAGGGAGGTTTAAGTTGGATATTATGAAAAATTTTCTTACTAGGAGGGTGGTGAACCACTGGAACAGGTTACCTAGTGAGGTAATGGTATCTCCATCCTTTGGGGTTTTTAAGGCCTGGCTTGACAAAACCCTGGCCGGAGTGATTTAGTTGGTGATGGTCCTGCTTTGAGCAGGGGGTTGGATTAGATCACTTCCTGAGGTCCCTTTCAACCCTAATTTTCTGTGATTCTCTAATCTTCTCCCATGTCCTTTGCACATGTAGACACGTGCCTGGGAGCATTTACTCGAGAGTAAATTGCTCCTGGATCTTTTGCACATGTAGATACGCCTCCTGAGTTTTTTGGAAGTTCTGATTAAGGAAGGGCCCAAAAGCAGGAAACACATATTAGTAAGACTGTTCTGCCTCAGGTAATCTAAGAACTAGCGTAGTGAGCCAGAAGAACTAAGTTTATTGGCCAGAATTATAGTGCCTTGTCTGTTGTTTCTTGATTACCTAATTCTTGTTTCTATAAAATGTTATATGCTGCTTATGCCTGGCATGCCTTGCTTAGAACAAAATTAATTCACTTTGTTTAACATCTAGTGTGTCTTGCCTTCGTATGTAGTTTGACTGAAGTCAGTGCTCTTTACTATTGCTCTGTTTTTTTTTTTTAATTGCCAGGTTTTGTTTTGTGTGTAGTTTGACAAGGTTCCCCCCCTCCCCTTTTCCCCCCCTCCCTCCGGTTTGAACCATCTTTCATTTTAACGAAATGCTTTCACTTTACAGATTTTATATTTGTCTTTTGTTTGACAAAACGCCCAACAACCTTTTAGTACCTCTCACTTTCCCTCTAAATTGAAAACCCGTGAAGCCTCTTCAGAAGCCTGTTTGAATATTAATAGTAGCAAAACAGTTGTTTTGGGGGAAGGGATAGGAGAGACTGCATTTATTGTGTTTCTGTGGTCATTAGTAATGTATAAAAGATGTTGGTATTTTAGGCATGATTTCCCTCGACAGTCTCATGAGATTACTGCATGTAATCTGTAACTTGCCTCAACTTGACCTGCTAAAAATAGCACAAGACTTCTTATGTCCCAGGCTTCCTGTGTGTCCCCATGGTTTTACCAGCATCCCTTACAGATCATTGGGTCCAGCCCCCCTGCACTTGGGCAGGAAAGACCACTGAGATCAGACGACCCCAACAAGATGGGTGTTCTCCTTTAAACCCTGCCTTTTCAGTGTCTGCTTTTTTGGGGAATTTCCATTTCCCAGAAAAACCTAGCTCTTGGAGCTTAGCCAAGTCTTTAGAAGACGTACTGTTGGTCAAAATGCAGTCATTAAATTTGAGAGCTCTCTCTTGTCCCTAGTCTGGTGGGTCCAGGTTGGAGATCTTGTTACCAAAGGTAGGGTACACATTTTCATAGTAAAAATCATGGAATGACTTCAGAAAATCACAAGTTATTCCAGTGTTTGGAAAAGTCCTTGCAGTAGGCATGAGTAAAATTTGGCTGAAAGATGCAAGCAAAAGTGGTGTTGTAATCTAGATTCAAGGCCAATTTGCAAAGCTCATTACTTTGAGCCATGGGTCAAATTGATGTAATGTCAGCTTCAGTGCTGTCTTCTGAACCACAGTAGTTAGGTCCCTATCTCAAAATCACAACATAAAATGCGATATTAATTAGTTTTTTTGACTATCAGTATTACAGTCTATATGAGAGGATAAGATCACAGGTAAGGATGTAAGGTTAAGATTGCTGTAGCTTCAACATCTGGTGAAAGAAAGTGTTAGCTGTCATTGAACTGTTGGAAGAAAGAGATGTTCTGTTGTCTTGTGCACAGGAGTTAGAGCCAGGGAATAAAGGTTTTTTGCTCTTAACCCTGACACCGAGTCCTTTTGTTGCTTAATGTCTTGGTCTCAGTTGCCACATGAGAAAAGGAACTACTGAACTACTGATTCCATCTAGAATTGGCAGAAAATAAACAGGACAATGAACATTTTGACTTTTTTCAACTTTTTTCTTTAAAATTTCAGAAAAAGAAAAAAAAAGACAGTTTATCTCAGTTCCCTTTTGGGGTGTGCTGATATCAGAACTATGGTTTGTCAGATGCCTTGTAAGGGGGGGATGTATATATATTTGTGTATGTGTGTGTATATTAGGGCTGTCAGTCACCGTTAATGTGCGTGATTAAAGTAAGAACCAATTAACGTGTTAATTTTTTTAACACATTAATCTCACACATGGTTTTGCAGCTTGTGCCCAGGCTGCCCTGCCCTTCTGTCATCACTGCTGCCTCTGGATGGCCCAGCAGTGGCAGAGCAGAGGAACCATAGAGCAGCCCGGGTGCAGGCTCCAGGCAGCTACAGCAGGAAGCAGGGGTGCACCCATGCACAAGCCCCATCCAGGGCCCCGAGCAACTGGGCTGGCAGCACCAGGGTTCAGCCTTGCCCCCTGAGCTGTCAGGGGGAAGAAGAGGAAGCTCTCAGCTGCTGAATGGCCAGAGCTGGTGGGGAGGGGGGAATGGAACTGCCTCACCTCGGGTCTGAACCAGCTACCCCCAATACCCCAGTTCAGGTAGCTGGGAGGCAATGGGGGTGCAAGGCAAGGGGGCCTTGTTCCCAGCCATCCCCCCTCCCCTCTGGTCATTGAGCAGCTGGATACTTTGTCCTTTCCTCCATCCCCCTCCCTTGCTGCCTGTCCTTCAGCTGGGGGGTGGGGGGCAGGAGTGGGA